AAATGTATTTCAATCTATATAAATGTAAAACGAATCCACAAATAAAAAAAAACAAGATTCACAAATGTATTTCTGATTCACATACAAATATTTATAGTTTTGTATATATGTAATAGAAATCCACAAATGTATAATATACATATATTTAAAAAAACACATTTGTATCTTGTTACATTTATATACAAACTGTTCAGTCTGCATTTACAAACTGTTTGTCATTTGAGAACCTCACTGCATTTGTGTGTGGGACTTTTGAGACTCCCCTGCTGTGGTTAAAGATTAAAGATGACTTAATCAGATTGTCTGATAGCTAGACTAATTGCTGTCCGCGCAGATGTAACGCTAAAGTGATGACATTAAAACATACCTTTGAATCTACGCTACTGTGATTGGCTGAATAGGAAGGAGACATCTGATTGGCTACAGACATTTCCCTGCTGAAAAAAATGCATTTGTGACTCTAACCACGGCAGGGGAGTCTCAAAAGTCCCCACACACAAATGCAGTGAGGTTCACAAATGACAAACAGTTTGTAAATGCAGACTAAACAGTTTGTATATAACTGTAACAAGATACAAATGTGTTTTTTAAATACAGTGGGTACGGAAAGTATTCAGACCCCTTTACATTTTTCACTCTTTGTTTCATTGCAGCCATTTGCTAAAATCTAAAAAGTTCATTTGATTTCTCATTAATGTACACTCAGCACCCCATCTTGACAGAAAAAAAACAGAAATGTAGAGGTACAGGTGTGTGCCTTTCCTAATCAAGTCCAATCAGTTTAATTAAACACAGCTGGACTCCAATGAAGGAGCAGAACCATCTCAAGGAGGATCAGAAGAAATGGACAGCATGTGAGTTAAATATGAGTGTCACAGCAAAGGGTCTGAATACTTATGACCATGTGATATTTCAGTTTTTCTTTTTTAATAAATTTGCAAAAATTTCTACATTTCTGTTTTTTTTCTGTCAAGATGGGGGTGCTGAGTGTACATTAATGAGAAATCAAATGAACTTTTTAGATTTTAGCAAATGGCTGCAATGAAACAAAGAGTGAAAAATGTAAAGGGGTCTGAATACTTTCTGTACCCACTGTATATATGTATATTATACATTTGTGGATTTCTATTACATACATACAAAACTATAAATATTTGTGTGTGAATCAGAAATACATTTGTGAATCTTATTTTTTTATTTGTGGATTTCTTTTACATTTATATAGAATGAAATATATTTGTGTGTGCATTGAAATACATTTGTGAATATTGAGACTGATCTAACTCCACAGACAAGTGCAGATAACAGCCACAAATAGTTGTGTTGGGGCTTTACTTATGCAAATATGAAACTACACATGCTTTTGGCACATAATCATCTTCACATTGTCATAAAATATCAGGACCCTGAAAAGATACTGCAATAAACTGTGGCTTTTCCGAAGACTTTAAGAGCTCTACTTTCATCATTTTCGCGCAGGCTGGTCTCGAACTCGTCAATTTACGAGATTATTTTCGTAAATCTACGACTTTAATCTCGAAATTAAAACGAGTGTGGTCGTACAAACGTACCACACTCAAGAGTAGTTTCTGTGTTTGCAGTTGTTTACAGTTGTGTGTGTTTTGACACAAGTTTCGTTTCTGTACTTGCAGCGCGTTTGATGCTTATGCAGTTGTTTTGCCTATTTGCTGCGCGTTTGTGTCTTTGCAGCACGTTTCAGCCTTTGCATTTGTTGTGGTAGTTTGCATTTGCTTTTGAATGTGCAGCGTTTCTATATATGCTGCGCGTTTTTCTGTATGTCTGTCGTTTCATCAGTTGCTGAGCGTTTGACCCCTACCGGCCACCGTAAAAATGAGACAAGACAAACAAATAAATATTTATGTATATATATACTGCTATCAAGTGACCTATCTTTTACACTATGTGGTAGGTTAGGTAACCTGTTGGGCTTCATTTTATTAATTTGAGGAGCCAGGTCGCTTGTTTTTGGCTTGTTTCCATGGAGCTGGTTGCTTGTTTCTCTTGCGAGATCTGGCAACACTGGAGAAGGGAGGGGTTTCCTTCTGAACTTCTCTGAAGTGATGGACTTGAGTTCCCCAAAAGACCAGTGTAAAACACAATAAGCATTCATTTCAAGCGGAACACAGACCACCAAAAAGGGAAGGTTTTTTCCTGTTTAAGAAGAGGAGGCGGTAGCGGACTAAAATGCAACACACGGGGGTGGGGTATGATAAAAGGTAAATGATCAACATTTTGTCATTTTTGTGATGATAGGTTATATATTATTGCCATATTCGTAATTAGATCATGAACGATAGTATGTGTAGTTTGTCGTCTTCTTTCTAGTCGAGTTCCTGCGTTTTAATAAAGAATCAGCCGATAATGAAGTGAGCGTTGCATTTATGTTGCGTGTTTCACTTCTAACATAGTTTTTATTTTCCATTTCACTGACCTAACTTATCGTTTTCGCATTATTCGCAGCCACCAAAACCCAAATTATGGAGTGGCCAACCCCCGGGTACTTCCCGGCAGCAGAAGGGGGGGGCAGGTAAGATCCATGGAGTTGTATTAGCAGACGCGTCTCATCCGTGAGTGTTGTGAGTGTTGTGAGTGTTGCGACATCCACACTGAAAGGTATTTTCATCCCCCACACTTTTTTTTTTTTTTTTTTACCAGTGGAGTCATTGATGAAAACCTATTGGTCAAATAAGATTTATTACCTGGCAATTAAGCCAATCATAGTTGTTTGGTTACAGTTGAAGCACGGAAAAGTTACGTGCATTTATCAGTAATCCTCCTGTCACTCATCACTGGCTGAAATCAGAGCTCAGAGCTAACAAATGGATACTGAAAGAGAGTTAGTCACCCATACAGATGTTTTTAAGATAAATCCACCCCACAAAACAACCTTAGTGTAACATTTTCTCCTCTTGGTTGTTCTTATAGCTGTATTTATTTACTCCTATTACTTTACGATGTAGCGGAAGTCACTGCGTCATTGCCAGCCGCTCCTCGCTTTTACATGAAGTGAGCCCCTCGCCCTAAATTTGAAGTGCCCACGTATTCTGATCTTTATGGTAAATGCTCCGGACTGCAGAGCGAGCAGGAGCAACTGACAGAGAGAGCGATTTTGACCCGTTATTAATCTCCTTTTCCAGGCAAAAGTGATTAGATAAAATAAAAATAATAATTGGTTACCAAAAAAAAAAAATGTAATCGATAATTGTTTTGTTGTCCACATTTTTGTAAATGTTTCTTGTTGCATTGTGGGTTTTAGGATAGGCCTAATTCAAAACAGAAAAAAAGGAACACGAGCGCAAAAAGAAAATAGATGACAAACAAAGCGCTGATAAAGGCTCCGTACGCTGCTACCCTAACTAAAATATCCCTTTAATTTACCCCCCTATGAATTCACAATGAACAAAAAGTCCCAGACAAACGAAATATGCAATATGATCCACGAAAGTTCAGTTCAAATTGTTTTTTTTAGTCCACAGAAAAAGAAGGACTTTCACTTTGCGATTACCGCTTTACTCCGCTAAACCAATGACGTTTGATCATCCAGGACAGAGCAGCATAACGAGATGTTTTCCTGTATTTTGGAATTTTAGATGATTATTCTTTTATTAACTACAAAATGGAACAACCTTATAGGGAGAAATAGCTCATAGCGGACGGACGAGGGAGATTGAGTGAATGTGTCATTACGCACAGAGGAGAAAGATGAAACAGACAGACACTTAAATTGTTCACCTGTTCTATTGTAACTTCTTTTACCAGAGTAAAGTGTGCTCTACACTGCAGACTGTGGTCTTTGTTAACACAATGTTGCTGTCAAGACACCTTCAACGTGCGGTGAGTGCGCATTGATGTCTGCACGTCCGCTCGCCACACTGCACTAAATATAATCAAGTTTTGAAACGGTCATAACACGTCTGTGGGAATTTTTATTTGAGGTTTGCTGTCTGTTGAAGTAAGAAATGTCATATTTGAATGTTAATACAAAGGCCTCTTACTAACAATTATTAAAATCCCGAAGATTAAAATTAATCAATAGATACAGTCGGCATCGCGTCATAGTTGGGGGCGGGGCGTACCGTGGGGAAAAGAATCACAGAGAACTACAAAAAGATTACTCGAGTATTCGCTTTAACAATGGGAAGAGTAATCGATTAGAGACAATTTTGCATTTCTGCACCCTTAATACGGACACAGAAATGTATAAATAAATGAATTTAGAAATGAGTAAATGTGGAAATAAATAAATATGGAAATAAATAAATGTAGAAATGAATAAATGTGGAAATAAATACATGTATAAATAAATAAATGTGGAAATAAATGTAGAAATACATTTAAGACATTTAATTATTTATGTCCCATTTATTTACCAGTTTTTATTTATATATTCACGCAGTTATTTATTAATTATTTTATTTATTTATTCCAGTATTTATTTATACATTTATTTATTTATATTTTTGTCAGATCTCGTCCTCCATACTAGTCGGCTCTGTGTGCTTCAAGGTACACACACGCTGCAGGTACCGAGTGCAAGCAAGGTCGCAGGGAGAACGTGGACTGGATTTTCAGTGATGTGGGCGTTCTCTATATGAACAAGTGGAATGGATTGGATAAGGACGCACTGAAGGGGCTCTCTCTACCTTACACTATGAAGTGAAGGGAAACTGACAAATTTATGATCATATTTAAGTGAATAATGGCAAGTTATATGACTATTATTTAAACTCATATTCTGGCCTCTTTATATTGAATTATTTCAATTGAATTGAATTGAAATAAAAAAAATAAAAAATAAAAACACCAAATTATTTAGGGGGGCTTCAGCTGACTTTTTACTTCTACTCCTTACATTTTCACACAATTATCTTTACTTTCTACTCCTTAAATTTTAAAAATAGCCTCGTTACTCCTATTTCATTTCGGCTTGTTTTCATTCCGGCTTGTCATCGTTCAAAAAAACACAAAAAAAACACAAAAACCTATCCAGATAAATTGCGCCATCCGGATAGAGTGAATTTGATTGTGGTTGGATGAAAAGTATAAACATATACCATTCTGACACGCTTTGGTGCGGCCTAAGCTTTTGTCCTCAATGGCATTTTTTTCCCCTTACATTACTTTTACTTTTATACTTTAAGTAGTTTTGAAACCAGTACTTTTACACTTTTAGTGTGTAGAGTAAAAAGCTCGAGTTGATACTTCAACTTCTACAAAAGTCTTTTTAAACCATAGTATTTGATTGGCGGCTGTAGCTCAGTTAGTAGAGTTGTCACCTCTAAAACTGGAAGGTCAAGGGTTCAATCCCCAGCTGAGCAAAATGTCCGATGTGTTCTTGGCACCTAACACTGCATTGCTTCCGCTGCTTCAGTGGCAGTGTATGAATGGAGTAGTGTTGTACTTAATCTCTGGTGTACGTCGCTTTGGATAAAAGCGACGTACACCATAGTATCTATAATGAACGTCAATACTTTTGACACCTCTGGCTAAATGTATACACTTGACCAAAACTGGTTCTTCTGGTTTGCTTTAGCTATGTTCGCCCCACCCACAGCAGACTTCCAGGGCCCCAGCGCTCCTCCGGCCAGTATGTTTGACAACTTGCCTGGCTATGAAGAAACAGTGGCGGGAGGAGAAGGTAAAGCACTGTAAAAATAGGAAACTATTCACCACACTGATGTCTTCTTTCACTTGGCCTCCTAGTCACATTGCTATTGTACACCACATCTGTTTAGGGTAATGCAGTCCAGGACATCGCCTCTCCAACACATGTTTTTCATGTTCACTTCATTTGGCTGTCGACTCGCCGTTATATTGTATAGTTTCTGCTTATAATATGTCTGCACTCATGCACTTTAACTGATGTCAATACTGTCCATTTACAACTCTGTTTTTGCACATTTACATTCAATCTGCCATATTTAATCTTCCTATTTAAGACTAGTAATGCTTAGTTAAATCCTGGTTGTATATATTCACATTCTTATTTTTGATATCTTTTAGTACTTATTTACTTTGTAGTTGATATTATATTGTGTTTAGATTGCTAACATTGTGTTTTTTACTCATATTGTGTGTTTGGATAACCTGCTGCTGTAACGCCACAATTTCCCAGTTTGGGATCAATAAAATAATTCTATTCTATTCTATTCTATTTTTCTATTCATTTATTTAGCTCATAAACATCAGTTTAAGTTGACATTTTTATGAAAGATAACAACATTTAGGCTAAATACATTAGGTCTTAATTTTGTGTTTAAAAAAAAATACAAACACCTGTCAATATTTGACATTAAGGTTAAATGCCACTAAGAACTACAAATACATGACTAAATCATAAAAGTTTGAGGAAACATTCACTCAAGATTGAGCATTGTAATCTGGAAATGAGGATTTATGGCTAAGCTGCTGATTCAGAATCAGAATCAGCTTTATTGGCCATGCATGCTTTTACACACACAAGGAATATGGCTTTGGTAAACTGTGCTCTCAGTGTACAAAAGTACAACATTAAATATAAACATAAATAATCAAAGATTTGTGTACCAATAAAGTGGCCACTGAGCTCATACTGCATGAACAAAAAGCATAGGAATGATTGCTACCAGAAAAAAGCAATACTACTTTTAATGTCTATAGGTGGATTTCTACCTCCTCCAATGCCTTCTTACCCAGTTCCTCAGCCTGAACCTGGACCTCACCAACCACAATGGAAGTAAGCCTTAAACCATTTCCTTTTATTTCAACATGGCTGTTCAAAATATTGCAAAAGATTTTCCGTAATGTGTTGTAAACATTTAAAGCAAGCTCAGCACTTTGTGCACTACTAAAACTTGCACTTCATATCAAAGGTTTCAGACCCCATGACATACTGTATCTCATTCTCACACTGTCTACAGTATCCCGTCTATCAGCAAGGACACTGCCCGGGATGCGTTTGTCCTGTTTGCCTCCAGCAAATGCTGCTACAGTGCAGCACCAGCAAAGGATGGTGTGATCACCAGTATGGAGGCATTTAATGCTTACAGGGTAAGAGGTGGTCTATTGCACTGATCGGTTAGTCTGTGTGTTAGGAAACCTGCCAGAAGAAAAGCATGTAAATCAATAAAGGTTTTATAGTGGCTGTTTAATACATATTCCTGTTTTCTCCTCCAATGCTTTATCTTAGTACCGCCTGGAAACCTTCACTGAATCACGATCTACAAAGTGGAAGCATGAGCCATACCATAGTAATACCATCATATTGTTACATGGGTGCAATTCTCCTTCTCATTCAGTCAGCTGTTTCAGGACACTGCTCACTTAAATTACGTTTTTTATTCTTTATTTAATCAGACCAGCCTTTGGATGCCTTTGCCCAACCTCCACCAGGGCCGTGGGATATTCCTGCAAAATCCCCCACCTTTTTTGTGGATGACAAGCAGGTTATAAAGGTTCCCAACACATCCTCATTGAAGGTAAATCATTTGAAACATGATTGGAGAACAAAGAGCTGTTGTGATTGTGTTTAAAGATGATTCCTGACTACTATCATTGCATATACAGAGCTGCCATGCTTGTGTGGGAATGGGGAGAAAACCTTGCAATAGCTGTGTTGGTGCTGGAAATGTGAGTAGTTTCTGCAGACCTAATTGAAAGTGTAACTTTTGCAACCTTGAGTGTGATCATAAGAATTCCTTTCTTGCTCGTTTTAGAAAGTTTGTTGGGTCTGCAATGGATCCGGTTTCCGCCACGGAGATGATCGATGCCACCACTGCAGTGGCAGAGGGAGGGAAAAGTAAGTAAAACCCATTGGTTTTTCATTTTCATTCAATAAAAGTGTTAAGTAGGAGAGAAGAGTCTAATAGTTATTTATCATTATTCTCAGTTGCAGCCACTGTCACGGGCAAGGATCGGAGCAATGTATCACATGTCATGGAAAACGACAGCTTCTGGTCTACATCAAACTCACCGTGAAATGGTGCGGTTTCCTCAACATCTGTGAAGAATATCTAACTCCACTTACAACATAAAAACATCTCTTTACTATTTTCAGATTTGTAACGTTAATGGAATCTCAACTAGTTAACCAAATATAAACCCAAATTATTATTTTATTTATGAACATGATTTCAGGACCAACAACACTGATAACTGTGTTGTGGGACAGTCAAGTGGACTGCAGTTGGACAACCTGAGCAAAGTGTCTGGCGAGGAGCTTTTCAAAGACACTCAGTACATGGTAAAAAAATGATTTTTTTTCTTACTTATAAAGCACAAGTTCAGTCAGGAAGGATAGTTTTTTTGAATGGATACAATTTGAAGATTATTTCTATTGAATTTTTAAAGGTTTTTTTGCATCAATTTATAAGGAAAGTTTGAGAGAGACAGGAAATGTGGGGACAGAGTGGGGGATGACATGCACCAAATAGCACAAGGATCGATCAAACCTACCGACGACTGAAGCCTTGATAATTAGACTCTCAACACCAAGCATGCTCATATGTGGTTAAAACTGTGTAACATTTACCTTCCCCAACAGGCGTACAGAGTGTCGACACAGGTTGTTTCAGCCATGTCATAACCACTTCAACTGTGAACTAAGCCAGCATAACACTTGTGAGATGCTTCACAAGTTTAATTGTCACTTAAAGCACATTTGAATTTTGTGTGCAGCTTTAGCTATTGTAGTACTACGAGTATGCGGGTGACCACACACAAAAACACATCCTGTGTGACACTGATCAGGGACTGAATCTGTCATTGTGCTCTTTTACTAATTAGCAGTGGATAGTGGATGTAATGTGAAATATGAGCACTAATTAATATTATAGTGATCACCCTGTGCAGGTTTACCCAGTGACCGGCTTTCCAGATGTTACAGTGGTGAATACTGCACAGCGCCTTGTCGGAGAACACCAGAACAAGTTCTGCCAGAGCTCACGTATTCTACAACAGGTAAGAGTGCATCCAATGTATTTATAGTCTACTTTTTCAAGAAATGTTTATGAACTAGAAAATACTCATGATCAAAGCCTAATTTTGCCTCAGTGTATTATGCTCATATTTCCTTTCTTTGTCTTCAGCGTCAGACCATAGAGCTGATCCCCGTCACCAAAGTGACCTACTCATGGAAAGAGAACTCACATGTTTACTTTGTGTACGGAAATGAGTTCAAAGTCAGTGCAGATAATTATCCTGCTCCCTGTTGCTGTACTGTCATGTAATTGAAATGCTTTTATACAAAGGTAATTCAATTCCAGATCATTGGCTATCAAAATTAAGCAGTTTTACTACAAGTCACTTATATTGATTAATGGGAGGTTCCCTGATATGTAGGCATATAAGTCCTTTTTTAAGTTTATCTAAGAAGAGGTCAACAAGCCATTTAAGCAAGGATGCCAATTCAGTCAGAGGAACTAATGAAATCCATTCAATAAGTGATCTTAAACGCCAAGCAGACAGTGAATTTTCCTTTGAGCCGCTACAACATTAGTAAGTAAAGTTTATTTGTATTGAACCATTCACAGATACACATCACAAAGTGCTTTATTATTGTATGCCATGTATCAATCAATCAATTGTTATCTGTATAGCACCAATTTATAACAAGTATTATCTTGCATGACCTAATAAAGAAAATGCTTATTGATAACATGTAAAAATTAGTAAATGATACACTCTTACACATTTATGTCAGTAATGTTGTCGTTTCCATCATAAATCAAAATGTTTTATGCTGAATATTTTTTGCATTATTAAACTTTTAGTAACATGTGTAACGTGATGTCACATGGCAAAACTTTTTTTATATGAATGTTAATCATTGCTAACTTTGTGTTAAGTTTTATATATATCTATACTGTTGATGGGGGACAGGGGGCGCACAAGGGTGCTGGAAGTTGTGGTTATCGCTATACTATGTGTCGAATAAGAGTTCCAGTAAAGTACGTGATCATGAACAGCCTTCGTGGTATAATTATTGAACTAACATTGGTAGCAGAGGATGGCCGCTGGCAATTATAAAGTTCCGCCGCCATTTGACGAGAAGAAGTCATACGGAAGTTGGAAAAATGAGGTCGAAATTTGGAGGTTAGTTACCGATTTGGAGAAGAAGAAGGAGGCATTGGCTGTTGCCTTGTCGCTAACCGGAAGAGCGAGGGATAGCCCGCTGGAAATCGCTGCGGAGGACTTGAATAAGGATGATGGAATGAATAAACTTCTGACAAAATTAGACTCGGTGTTTTAGAGGAAAAAGATCGACAGTACGAGTTATACAGAGTTTGACCAGATAACGAGGGAAAATAGCGTTTCGATGGTGGATTACATTGTCGAATTTGAACGTCGATATAACAGACTGATTAAGTTCGACATGAAGCTTCCAGATGCCGTGTTAGCTTTCAAGCTACTAGACACAGGGAGACTTAGAGTTAAAGACAAACACCTAGCGCTTACTGCCTGTTCAAGCCTCTCGTTTGTGAACATGAAGTCAGCTTTGAAGAGAATCTTTGGCGATAACGCGCAAGTGAACAAAGAATGTGTGTAGCTGCTGACTCTGCATACTACACAAGATTTCCCGGCAAGAGAGAAGGGAAACAAAGTCAACAAGGAACCGTGCAGTGCACAAATCCACTCAACAGGTATGGGTTTGGTGATGGTAGAGTTGTTTATTCTCCAAAGAAAGTCCAGCCAATCCCAGCCATGAAAGGACAGACTAGATGTCAAATTGAAACAGAAGTTGTCCCTGTTGATATTCTGTTGCTTTTGAGTAAAACCTCACTGAAAAGAGCAAGCGCAGTTTTGGACATTGAAAATGATAAAGCCACAATGTTCAAGCAACCAGTCAAACTTGAAAGCGGGATTCCAAACGGGGATGAAGTCCTCACTGTGACAGAAAACATGACAACAAAGGAGAAACAGAAAGTTTTATTAAAGCTACACAAGCAATTTGGCCATGCCTCAGCTGACAGACTTAATAAACTACTGGCCTGCTCAGGCAATAAAGATGATGAATGCAACACAATTCTCAAAGAGATTGTAAAAAACTGAGACATGCATCAGACACAGCAGACCAAAGCCTAAGCCAGCGGTAGGTTTGCCTATGGCCTCAACCTATAACAAAATTGTAGCTGTGGACTTGCATGAACTAGAGCCAGGAGTATGGTATATGCATGCTATTGATCATTTTACACGTTTCAGTGCAGGGAGCATCGTCACCTCCAAGAAACCAAGAGAAATTGTGAACTCACTGCTGGATAAGTGTTCATGGGCCTCCACGCAGACTGTTCAGTGACAGGTGAATTCAACAGTGAGGAGATGAGAGACATGGCTAAAACGTTTAACACTGAAGTGAAAACAACTGCAGCATACAGCCCATGGAGCAATGGCCTCTTGGAAAGGCATAATCAGACACTCACTGAAATCTTATTGATAGTAAAAAAAGACAACAAATGTGACTGGAAGACAGCCCTAGACTGGGCCTTAATGGCAAAAAACTCTATGCACAATGTACATGGCTACAGTCCTTACCAATTGGTGTTTGGGCAGAACCCAAATCTGCCTTCAGTGCTCACTGATACGCCCCCAGCTCTACAGGGCACCAGCATGAGCTCTTGGATATCCCAGAACATCACAGTGTTACATGCTACAAGGAAAGCATTTGCAGAGGCTGAATGCTCTGAGAGGATCAGAAGAGCACTTCGAAAACAACTGCGGCCCACTGATGACCGATACGAAACGGGAAAAAGTCTACTACAAGCGGGTGGATTGTACTGAATGGAAGGGTCCTGGTGTAGTCATCGGCCAAGACGGAGCAGTAATATTTGTCAGACACAGGGGCACCTATGTTCGTGTACATCACTCCAGGCTTCAAAAGGTAGATCATCACAAAGATTACCAGTTCATCAGCAGAGGTGATCTTGGGACTTTTGAATCCAACATCGCAGAATGTGTATTTCTTGAAATTATGTCAAGCCCCTCTCTTGGGGGAAGAAACATAATTGTAGGTGTTATTTATCGTCCACCCAATACAGATATTGATATTTTTAACAAAAAGTTAACAGATGTGCTTGAAGTCATATCAAAAGAGGGTCATATCAATCAGTCTGTTTAAAAGTGAGAATCATATACAAACTGCAGAATTTCTAAATACAATGTATTCAAATTACTTTTATCCTCTAATTCATATGGCAACTAGGATCTCAGATACAACTGCAACTCCAATTGACAATATTTTTTACAAACTTCTTTACTTCTTTGATTAGGAATCAAATAGTGGGATATAACATACTGACATTTCTGATCATTTGCCAATTTTTTTTTGTGTGTGGCTTATAAGGTTCAAGAAACAAAAAAGCCAGTTATTAGTTGCAAGAGATTATACAATAGGAAAAATATGGACATTTTTAAATTAAAAATAGCAGATCCGGAATTAGCCTTCTCCCTTTTTATGAATGAAATTGTTAGCTCATTGAACCAATGTTTTCCCCTCAAGAGGATAAAAGAAAAAAAAGTTGATTTTCACAAACCTTGGTTCACCTCAGGTCTTAAAAAATCCTCTATGAAAAAAAATAAGTTACACAAAAAATATATATCAAATCCAACTCCCCTTAATTTGAAAGAATATAAAACTTACAAAAATAAGTATGTGCATATTTTACGTACAGCTAAGAAAATATACTTTTCAAAGAAGTTTAAAGAATCAACAAATAATATCAAATCTACAATGAATATTATCAACCAACTGCTACATAAAAAGAAGAAAAAATCTTTAGGCACGAGTTCTCAATTTCTGAATGGTGATAAACTCATTAATGATCCATATGAAATCTCTTGTGGCTTTAATAATGTTTTTGCAAATATAGGTGCTTCTTTCTCAAATGAAATTGACAACACAGTAGGCAGCCCTTTAGATTACTTACTAGAAAAAAGTTATGGCTGTATCTCAAATTTTGAGCCCCCACAGCGAAAGGAAGTAAGTGACATCATTAAAAATCTAAAAAATACCTCAGCTGGCCATGATGAAATTGGTAGTTCTTTAATTAAGGAAATATCAGATTACATATTGGAACCTCTCACTCATACCCTGGGCCGATCTGTGGCCACTAGTGTTGTCCCGAAAGAGCTTAAAAGAGCAAAAATTATACCATTGTTTAAATCTGATGATCAAAGAAATTTTACAAATTATCGTCCTATTTCCATTTTACCTTGTTTCTCAAAAATTCTCGAGAAGTTAATTTACTCAAGAACAGTTACACATTTACATGAAAATAACATCTTATATGAACATCAAATGGATTTTTTAGAAAGGACAGTTCTACCTATATGGCACTTTTACAGCTCGTAGACAAAATACAGCAGCTACAAATAATAATAAATACGCACTTGGTATTTTTTTAGACTTGTCTAAAGCATTTGACTCTGTCAATCACAATATTTTATTTGCTAAATTACAAAATTATGGTCTTCAAGGTGACACACTGAAGTGGTTAACCAATTATATGAGTGAGAGAGAACAGTATGTGGTAATCAATGGTTGTGCTTCAAGCACTCTTAATGCAACATGTGGAGTACCACAAGGATCAGTATTAGGACCTTTGTTATTTCTTATTTATATTAATGACTTCCCTTTAGCTTGCATACTTTCTTCTATTATTTTTGCTGATGATACCAACATGATCTTATCTCACAGTGACTTACACACCCTCATAAATAATACAAATGAAGAATTGGTGAGTGCTGCAAAATGGTTTAAACTTAATAAACTTTCATTAAATAGTAAAAAGTCAAATTTCATCATATTTACAGGTAAAGGAAGTAGGTATCAGAAGGATTATGCTAAAGTTTCAATAGATGGAAATGAAATTTCTCAAGTGTCACAAACTCAATTCTTAGGAATCCTTGTGGATGAGAAGTTAAATTGGAAAAATCATATTAAATTTACATCAGAGAGTAAGTACAACACAAGCAAGGATCTAGAAAAAAGGGGACAATGTCAGTAAGAGCAAACGATCAGCTTTGAGTCCGATTGGACACACAGGTGCTGACAGGCATTGCACAGAGGCAAAGCACAACATTGACAGCAGTTCTTGAGAGCTCTAATCAGTATAGAAACCATCTTATAAGTCATCGTTATCAAACAAAAACCATCGTCACAACCATCATCATCATCATCAATACTATCGAGACCATCATCATTAAGTTAGTAGGTATTCATGAAAAAGCTGGGTCTTTAGCTTTTTCTTAATTTGCAGAGGGACTCTGCAGATCAAATGGAGTTTGGAAGTTCATTCCAATCGCGGCTACTTGAACCTTAAAAGTTAGCTGGTCATCAATCATGACACCCAGGTTCCGGGCAGACTTTTTGGGCATGCGTTTGGTTGTTCCAAGCTGGACATTGATCTGTGGTTGCATAGAGGGACTGGCTGGGATGACAAGGAGCTCAGTCTTCGAAAGATTGAGTTGAAGGTGGCGTTCATTCATCCATTTAGAGATATCAGCAAGGC